TTCTTTTAAGTTATACACGTTACAGGTATTACAAGATTTATGTTGCTAATGTTGCCTTGTTTCTGTTGGCAATAACCTGTTATTTACAGCATGCATCAAAATATTGCTAGTGATAATTTTCTGGGAAAAACTTTAAGTACAGCAGACAGTGTCTGTAGGTCTTTTCACATTTTATGGAAAGCCTTGTTCTATTTATTTAAATTTACTATTTTCTGCTCACAATTTCATTGAATTGTACCTCTTCAGGTTGCCCTCATGGTCGCAAATGAATTCTGGGAGCAAGGCGACCTGGAACGAACTGTGCTACAGCAACAGCCTATTGTAAGTACTAAATAATTTCACTGTGTAAGCAATATTAACTCTTATGAAAACACTGAATAAATAATGAACCATGATGCTTATGAGATCACTATGCCAAAAAGCATGATATCTACATATTCCAAATTATTGCTCTTTTGTTCTAGCCTATGATGGACAGAAACAAAGGAGATGAACTACCTAAGCTCCAAGTTGGTTTCATAGACTTTGTGTGTACATTCGTGTACAAGGTAAGAATTTTGCTTTGTTTTCCTGTTCCAGCAGTTCTGATGGCACAATAAGAAATTGCAGTAAAAATTCCAGACAGCAGCAGTACTCTTGGTCACAGGCTGAACCACTATCACAACCACCATAATTTTTCAGTATTTTGTTACATCAAAGAATTGCTCCCATAGAATAAATTCAAGAGATGTGAAGCAAATTCATAAAAGAGGAAGACCCCAGTGAAAGTTCAGGGTGAGGATTTGTTATTGCCTGGAAAGACTGAGTTACAAAGTCCAGTTTGATTCTTCCTAGTCCCATTTAATGTAAGCAAGCAATGTGGATAGTTAGAGAAAGCAGTTAATAACACAGCATAGGGAATATGAATATGCAATATTTGAGGCATGTAATATGCTGTTTCTTTTGTAAGGCACTGAAATGACTACATTCTTTATCCCTGTCTGGTTTTTAATATTATTCAAAAATGACAGGCAAAAATGTGATGTGATTTTTTAACATCTTCAGAAATATCCCCATCTGTTTGGAATATACTACAAGATAGCAGACTTTTAAATTGTATCCTGATACTGATAATCATATGATAAAATACCATTTATCACAGTTGTATTATATGAGTCAGGCTAATCTTATGTGGGATTAAGGAAGATATTAAAATGTGCAACATATAATTTCAATATTTTCCTAACAGACTATGTGCACAATAGGGCATTATAATCCAAACACAATATTTCCAACAGTATGCCTTGGAATTAGATGTAATAGAATAATGAAATGTTTTCTCAACAGTATTTCTACAATTTCAGACCTAAAAACTAATCAGTGCTTACAAATTTCTAATTTACTAATTTCCATTGCTTGTACAGGAATTCTCAAGGTTTCACAAGGAAATTACACCTATGTTTGATGGTCTTCAAAACAACAGGGTTGAGTGGAAAACACGAGCTGATGAATATGAAGAGAAGATGAAAGCTATTGAGGAACAAAAGAAAAAGGAAGAAGAAGCAGCTGCCCAAAAAGGTTAAGTAACTTCTTAGGTTTTCATTTACATATATTTTTATGGCAGCCAACATATTCTCTCTTTCTCTCAAATTCACACATGCAGTGCAGTTGTGCAATATTAAACTTTATGCTAACGGTATGCAAGTTCTGAATCAGCCAAATTAGGTTTATCTTTACTTGAAAGAGAAGTAACCTTTAAAGACTACACAAATCCAGTGCACTGAGCTCATTTTCTGAACTGCAGAATTATATAATATGATCACCACAAAAGTGAAGGGAATGTAACATTTCTTCTATCTAAAGACTTGAAATTGAATGTAATTAAACCCTTGCTTATCTGAAATACAAGATATGTATCAAAATTCTGCGTGGCATCAGCCTCAAATGTATTCAGGTGCTTTGTTTTCAGTTGAAAATGAAAAACATAAAGGAACAGAGTATGCATTTGGAACATAAAAAAACAGTGACAATCCCCACTTCTCTTCCAAGTTTAAGATAAAGCTTTTGGCTCTAGTTCCCTACCACCAGTTTCCTGGCTGAAATACACTCTCTCATATAACAAATTCAACATTAATCTTCCAAAGATAGACCAAGTCCTAAAATTGGAAGCATGGTTCTGCATAGCATAACCTAGAAGAGAATCTGATTTTATAGAAACTTGAAACCTGTCACTCACTTGAGTGAAATGAGTTACTTTTATTCTTTGTATTGCATGTGGAGCAGCAGCTACAGCTCTGCCAATTGATTGAGATGACTGAACAGGTTCAAAGATGAAAAAAACCCATGTGTGATTAAAATAGTGATATATGGTCAGCTAGTCTGAAGGAGAAAAGTTAGTTTACTCTGTGTTTCACACATCTTTAAAATATAAAACAGTTCTGAATAATTGGTTAATCAGTATCTGTGGCAAATAGGTGAGTATTATTCCCATTTCACAAAATAGAAACTATCCAAGGCCACCCATCAAGTTACTGTCAGGGTGTGAAATAGTTATAGGCTCCTATAAATTTGATACTAGGTTACAATAAAAGTAAATATAAAAAAAAGAAAAAAAAAAGTTGTTGCAAAGTGGTGTAAGAAGTCCTGTAAGTTACATGATTTAATCAAAGCAGATTTTTGAAAGAGTTTAATAGAATGAGTCAAATATTTTGGTCTGCTCACAGTGTGATACTACTTACACATATTTTCACAAAACTTCCACCCTCCTACTTGCTCCCAAGTTTATTTTCAATTACACTTTCATTTTTTTGAAATCATATAACTTTGTTTAAGATTCATTTATTGCTGAGAACTAGCTGGTTGTCAGTATGAAAAAAGTACTTTTTCCTTACACTGGAACATAACCATCTGATCTTTACAGAAATACCAGCAAAACAAAACAAAACCTGAAAAGTTTCCATTCAAAACCTGGGACCTCCTTACACAACTTAAAACCTCCTTATACATTTGCTTTCTCAGCAAAGAACACTACCAAAAAAAGTTACCAAAGTTAGATCCAATGCTGCTAAGTACAAGCTTCTTAAATAAAAATTAAATAATCAGTTTAGGAAGAGTCAGTTATTTCTACTCTCACTTGGAAGTTAGGACCATCCTATATCATTGGTATTTGGAGTCAAGTGTTTTCCTCATAGGAAAATAGGAAACCTTACACAGGCAGGCATGGACAGACTGATGTGCAGAATCCAAGGATCTGGCCTTTGCATATCATAATTGGCAACACAAAACAAAAGGGAATCATTCTGAATCCTTAAAAACACACACACTGGAATGAGGCCATGGGCATTTGTGAAGAACAGATCTGACCCTGTCAAATCAAGGCCATGTAAATATATGGGTTTGTGAAGTCAGTTCATACAAACAAAGATTTGATACATGCTGAACCATGGTGGTTTCTCTAGAACACACTGACCTGGCTATTCTTAGCCATCCAGTAGACACAAAATAAACATGTTTGCTGAACCACTACAGTGGAAAGTTCAGAACTGAAGTAAAGAAAAATACAGTATTAAACTGAGAAAATCAAATACATAGTTAGTAACATAGTGTTGATTATATCCACAAATTACAGAGGGTAGGACACTGATCATGTGACATGTTTCAATGCAGGTGGAAAGGGTCGAAAATGACCTAGTAACATGGTGATCCACAGCTTTCAAATGTAAGTTTTAATTCTAATATTGGTATCTTACCTTAAGTGAATCTGGAAATGCAGTTTATTACATTGAAAGAATCTTAACTATGACCAATGAACATCTGTGGCATCATTTGAGAGAGAGTAACAGAATCAGTAGCTGTAAATAAAAACATGAGAAATCTCTCTCTCTTAATTAGTATTTACAAAGGGATTCATGCAGGGTTGGAAAAAGGTTTATGCAGTTAGGTCAAATTAAAGTTTTTGTATCATCTGCTTCAAAAACAGATTCACAGATTATATTGATTCAAGAGTTTCTTTCTTTGGCATGGCTTGCATACCTCAGTTTTGTATGTGTGGGACAGTCATGTATTTTAAATACTGAAACTTTCCAGTAAGAGTGGTTCAGTGTGTGTTTGGTCCCTTGAGAAATGTTGGTATCAACTCCTACACTATATACATATATGTACTTATAACGTGTCATTGTTTCTTATTCCAATATCCCAGATAAGCAGTGAAATTTCAGACAGCCAAACATACATAATATGCATCAAATAAAAGCAGCACTCCATAATAAGGAATTAGAGCAGCTAAAATTAACAGAAAATATTTTACTTTCCTTCCTTGTTTTTTAACAGAAAGTGCTGCCGGAGGTGGTGGAGGTGGTGAAGAAGGAAAATCCAAAACCTGTGTAGTTTTGTAATTCTTTGTCCCAGACACTGCTCCTGCTACAAGAAATGACATCTAGAAAGAACTTCAATGAGCCCCAGTGGATTTCTGCTTTGCATAGAATAGTATAGATCAATCTTTTAATCCTCTTAAACACTTGCCATTTGTTGGAAATAATTTTTAATGGATTTAAAAACTGGTTACAATTAAAAACTGGAAAAAATAATGGTGCAAAATGAGTTAACTGTGTGCTCTAGGTATTTTTTCATGTCACTCAATTTACATACAGTGCTTTTATTAAAATATGTAACTTCTACACACTGTCCAGGAAAAATATAAATAATTTTGACAGATGTTATATGAAATTACTAAATGAAACTTAAGATGTAAAATTCAAACCAGAAATTGCAATACTTGTAACTTTGATATTTAGGTTTTTATATTATGTGTATTTCCTTAATCTGTAATTCTGTCATTTTCCTTCATTCTCAGTCCTATATAAAGTCCCATTTCTTTCACTTTAGGAATGCATAACACAACTCCCTAGCTCTTATCCATAAAAAGCAGGCCCATGGTACACTGAATTTTTTCCAAAATTAGCAATGATAAATCTGTAAATTATAGCCATTGTAGCCTTTTGATCACACGCAAACGGCTCTCCCACAGTTCCTAAACTAAGCAGCTTTTATTGTAAAAATGTAAAATAGCAGACCACAAACGTCATACTTTACACACAAGTAAAAGTTTACTAAGATACACCAGCATATCTACAGCAGGATCTGCCTTCAAGGGCATTTTAAAAGCTCACATACTCCCAGTGCATCTCTTTCAAAATGCAATAAATTAAAGTATTTGAAAACCAATTAATTGGCATCAATTTAATCTTCTGAGGGAGAGCAAAGCAGAAGTAAAGCACATCAAAATTGCCATTACCTGTGTTTCTACCAGATAACAAGAAACCAAGTAGACAGAGTGCACACAAATTAGCTCTTCATGAACACTGACCTTCCCCCCCAAGTCCACTCCGTACCTTCCACTCGGGAAGCCAGCTCCTCCATGAAGGAGGGCAAATGGCCACTATGTTAGACACACACCTGAGTATTCACTGGAACCAGTTTCAAATCTAAGGAGGTGGATGTCAAATGCAACTCCTGCAATAGAGAAATTCAACATTCAGACTCAATCCTGCCACTTTTCCTGCTCCTTTGAACAAAGCAGACCTTTTTCTTTCCTCTGAAGGACCCTCCGTACCCATACAGAAGGAGAATGAGCAATTTGCTACTTATAAACCTTTCTAAGAATGCTCTGTGAACAGAGATAACTGTGCACATTTCTCACTCAAAATTAAAGGAATCCACAAAAAACCTCCAAACACTCACCACATTCTGACTTGTAAATGAACCAAGTATTTTATGCAAACAGTTATGACATAGAACTGGGTATCACGTTAGTTTCTGTATTAAATGCCGCTGCTAAAGAAAACCATTTCAAGGTTGTCTGATAATGTAATTTTGTTTAAACTGTATTAAATTATGTATTTAATATGTATAGTGTAACTTTTTATAACTGTATGTTAAAGACCCAAAGAGAAGCTAGTTATTCAGAACATATAATTAATATACAATACTTGAAGCAACAAAAATAGCAACGCAGTCGACAGAAGCCCCTTGGGGCAAGTTGCACACGTTTAAGCAGATTGCTGCAGATTGGATTTGACTCTCAGCCAAGCTTGCAAGATGACAGAGAATTAACCTTTAAATCCCCCTTCTTACCTAAAGAAGCCTTCATGCAAGGATACGTTTATTTCTTACTCAAGGACGCCCTAAATATGTCCTTGTACATCTATTATGTAAGTACAAAATGTTTAAAATGTAATTATAGTAAGTAATACTTGTAAATAGAGTTCTTAACTTATTCATGTGAGTGCATGTGAAATGTTCATAAATACACTACAACCATCTCTGCTGTTTTGGTGTCCACATCAAATACTTACTAGAAATACTTTCTACGCCTACAGTGAGAAGTACTTATCAAAAATATATTTTATACAACACTAACTTACTCAGATTAACATGAAAACTTAATTTTAAAAAGTGTGACCTCATATACAAAGTAATTTTCACCAGACAGAAAATATATTGGCATAGTACTTTTTCATGTGCAGTCTGTTTCTTTGGAAACATGACTGAATGAATGTTTAAAGATGTGCTGCAAGTGAAAGAAGATGAATCCAGTACGTTTCTCAAGCAATATACAGGCTTTATTTGTAAATTCAGGATTACACGTGAAAGAAGGATTAACGTTCAGTCAATGGGAAGGAGATCAGAAGCCACAGATAACATGAAAGTCACGCACATCTCCAGTAGAAAGCTGCATGTTATTTTTTACACCAAAAATTTCACCAGTCAAACATATTTTTATAGGTGGAATTGTAAGACATATCACATTACAACTAAAATTTAAAAGAAAGTCACAATAAACTGAACTTTTTAAAGGAGCAGGAGAGATAGAATACATATTTGACAAAATGTGATGTTCTCCAATAGCATTTGAAAATATTTACAGAGATTAATACCCAAATATTAAAATCTAAATAGCCAATAAATTTAAGGCTATTTATTCCTGTTTAATAAATTAAAAATATAAATAAAGTGTATGGCTTTAAACTACTCACACAATCTTAGAAAATGCTCCTTTACAAAAATCTGGCAATAACTGAAGTTTGAGATCAAATAAAAAGCAGTGAACTTCCTTGTTGTAATGTTAATAAACTATATTCTTGTTTGTATAAGTTTGGGTGCCATATATATTTTGCACTGAACTGAAAAATTATTTCTCTTGTTTCAAGAGTATGCAGCCTACTACAAGAAATAAAGTTTTTAGATTTAAATCCTTCTACAAAGAAAATCCACCCAAATGGTCCATATGAGTGACTGTAGAAAAAGTATGCTGGCAGATAGGGATCTCTGGAAAATTATGACTGGATTTCCAGACTTCCATCTTGACAACTCATGAAGAAAATCAGCCAACAACAAATGCAAGTTTTAGAGAAATAAATCTTGAAAATACTCATGAAACTCCTCTTCCCTGTAACAACAACAAAAAATAAATGTCAGAAAGTTCTGCTTTGGATTTGTACCTAGGAGATAGTCTTTGAATAAAAAAGTTTTAGCAAACTTCTGATTAGAATTGTGAAAAGTATAGATAATTTTGACTTACTCACTACATTCCAATACCCTCCACATTTCCCTGTGTGAGCTGACCCTTAGGACCTGCCACTAAGATAATAATGCTATAGAGGGGGTAAGGCAGCAGTGCTGTGGCAGTGGCTCAACAAAGGTTTTCCTCAAGAGTTGTGTATGCCCCCTGTTTAAATACACATTTTTAGGTTCATTGCATGGAAAGAGATTTGACATAACCTTTTATGTGTGAATACTCATTGAAACACTGGACAATTCTGTCTTGCAATTCTGAATGGACCCTGTACACTTCAGTAGCTGCAAGCTCAGTACATCAAACTAACCGTGATTTTTCATCTGCTTCTCGTAGAGGACCTTTCAAAGAGTCAGCTTCTGAAGGACCATCTTCAGCACTGCTGTCATCTGAATCTGTTAAAAAATTTAAAATGTTTACAAAATAAAATTTGAAATAATCTTTTTATAAATTAGATGGTATATTGCTAGAAGCAATGTTTAACTGCAACCATGAGAATAAACAGAACACTTTGCATAAAGTGAAAATGAAAATGTTTTGCAATGCTAATTAGTGTAATCAAAAAGATTCTTAGGTATCATAAAGCAATGTTTTGGTCAACCATAACAACAGCCATGTCAAAAAAATGATCTTGACACAACAGCAACATAGCATTTTTTTTTCCTAAAACTAAATAATTACAAACCCAGATATACAATAATTACAAACCCAGATATACAAAAGTGAAACTATTCAATTTATGATTCTGGATTAATCAATTACCCTACTTAAACAATAGTTCTTATCAATTGTGACTTATCAGTAAATGAAATTATAAGAAAACACGGATTATTGCATAACTATTTCATATTAGTGTACAGGAATTTCATATAAGAAACTTCCCCCCCCCCCCCCCCCAATCTTCCAATAAGTTTCCTGACAAAACAAATTTGGGCATGGCCCAAATCATAAGGAAAGTGCTTCAGGTCTTCTTGTATCTAACTGGGAAAGCCTAGGGGGTGAGCACATTCTTAAAAATGTATAGCAGAGCAGTGAAAACAGTCAATCACTTCTAGACAGTCTGCAACAAGGACTGGCATGACCAGGAGATGGGGCCTGTTTCACAAAAAAAGGAACTGGAGACTGAACTCACTGAGATACAAGCAGTGGCTAAATGCATCCACCTGCAATAAGCAGGTCTCTGAGGTACTACAGGTGGTAGTTGGAGAAGACATTAATTAAAGCCTAGAATTTATTTTAATTTTTTTTTTTTTTGAGAAGAGTACATATCAGTTTAACTCCCTGAAGGAAAATGTAGCTATTATATCAGAAAAATACTATCTTTACACAGTACAGACTACACAACATGAAATTATTAACAATGTACCTATTTTTGCACCCTCTGCTCTTTTTTGCAACAACCGGACTTCTCATTTTTCTGGTTATTTTCATTCTGTTATCTGCCCACATTTTCATTTTTTGATTAAACAATTTCCTCCTTAAAATTCCCTACACTTTTTCTCCAAGATATGTAAGTCATTCATTCAAACCTTCATATTTCTCCTTTTTTCAGACAGCATTCTTATCATATAAAATATTGAAACAGATAGCTCATAAAACCAAGATCAATGACAACTGTCTATGATATTATACAACTTATTACAAAACCATAAAGGATACTAAAATACCTTTATCAGAATTATCTGAATCGTCTGAAGAAACCTGATCTGTGAAGAAACACCAAAATAGAAAAAAACCAGTAAACTGCTTTTGATTTTATCTGTTATCTTATATTGTCTACAAAGATTTTTCTATCACAATTTATTACACTAAAGATGTGTACATGCACGCACACACCACATTCAAAGAAAGAGAGCAAACACTGAAATAAAAGGATTTTTTAAATGAGTGCAAAGGTCATCAGTTTGAGCCTATTTATGTCAACCCAAGATCCCTGGTGTAAAAAGGTTATCTAACATTTCCAAAAGGCTTTCAACCCCAAAGCCTCATGGAATGAAATACCTCACAACCCTTTCTAGTATGCAACATCCAATGCTTGCACAAATTTCCCTTGCAGTGCATACTTTTCAAAAGGCTGTCCCTCTCTGTTAAATATAAGAAACTTATATTTTTTCTCTGCATCTAGGAAATTTTGCCTAAGAAATTTACCTTTTTGACTATCTTTGTTGCAGTCAAGAAGGTTACATATCTGTCTGTGTAACTAAAAGTATTTATACATAATAATATGTCTCCATCTATTCATCTGTTGCAAAACTCAGCTTCAATTAACCTGAGTATTTTAACAACTGAAGTTTTAAAGCTTAAATTTACCTTTACCAGTCTTTTTTTTGGACTTCTTTTTTGCTGAACGAGACAATTTTCTCTTCTTATTTTTTGGCTCCTTGGAGTTCTGTGCAGCTGTGCCTCTTTTCTTGTATGCTTTGACTTCTTTCCTCCTTTAAAAAAGATGAATGTACACCTCCTCTGTTATATGTACTTCTTATGCAACAGTAAATCTGAAATATTTAATTCAGTCAAACATGTGTCATATTTTCAGACACCTATCAGTAGTTAAATAGAAAAAAACTGATTCAGTTTAAAAAAAAAGTGCTATATAGAAATAGAGGAAAAATAATTACTGGGCTGAAATTAAGTAAATGAAACTTCTGTGCTGGTAGGGATGGAATTCTTCCAGTCTGGGGGTTCTGTGCTGTCATTAGCAGAGCATCTTAACTCTCAACAGTGACAAGTCACTGGCTTTATAAGAACTCCAGAATATTCATGCTATTTCAGGATAAATGAAGTTCCTAATCTTCTCACTGATGTTTCGTCCCTGTGTGCTTTTCATCATAATTGTAACTTATCAATAATTCAGTCCCCATTATTTTCAAAATATTTCATTACCGGTGATGGAAGTTTAGCTTGTGGGAACATTCTGGACATAGTCCTGAAAAAGAGAAAATGAGAACATTCAGCCAAGAATCTGATAACCTGAAGCATAATTAACAAAAATACAAAACTAGTTAGAGCTAGATCCTTCAATAGCAGCAGCTTTTCCTTCAAAACACGAGTTACAATGTAACTGCACTCAGGATTGAAAAAATACATGATGAAAGTCTCCAGTACAAACTCAGATTTTACTAAATGCAAAGGACAATCACAAGTTTAGCACCGGCAGCTCTTCATTAAAGAATTATCAGTGCTTCTCATGTACAGACATCCCATTTATGGATCCTTGTGCACAGATCCAATTCTTCTGCAATTACACTGAAGATGTGTAAGTCTCCTAGAGCTTTGTCACAGACCAAGTGCTGCCACGTGGAATGTCTTATGCACAAAAGGAAAAAGCCCCACTACTCACTCATTTTACATGAAGTAACTGTATAAACTGCACTAAGTTTAATTACCTGATAAACAGATCATCATGTACACAATTCTGAATGAGAAAATCACAGTTGAGATGTAAGGATGGAAAATTGTTTAAAAATAGAACTTTGGAATTCTTTTTTAGAAGAAAACTCAAATATTTAAAATAAAATCAGTTAAGTCGAAGATGTGCAAGAAGTTGTCTGGTCGAAAGCCCTAAGAACTTCCAAGCCAAGTAACTGAATGAGCAATGACAATGTTGAAATTCTCCTGGCAATGCAGTATTGTCCATTAAACTAGAAATGCTTCTGTGTGAAACAGCTTATAGCCAATTATTCAAATTTTATGACATGCTAATTATACAGAATAAAGTTCTTAATCTGTAACAACTTTGTCATATATAATGATAACAGTTGCTCTCTCTAAATCAAGAGCACCACACTACTACCTGTGATTAATTCAACAAAATGATCTCCTATTCTGCCTTTGTCATGAACTCATATTATTATCACTGGGTCTCACTCAATAACATTCAAAGTACAAGATACTTGTCTTCTTTTAAGTGTACATATCCTAGAAGGGCTGACTTACTCAATTTTACAAGTGCATTCCTCTTTTCACCATGTTCAACGTAACCAAAATTCACCTCCCAGCTCTTCAGGCCTTCATTCTCCTCACAGTGTTTATTTCCACAGGAAAACTGACCTGTAAAGAGTAAAAACCAGCAAACTGTGGTTCAATGATTAACATTAATAATATGGGGTTGTTATTTCCAGTTCTGCTCTGTTTTTTGTTTTCTTTTTCCATTTCTTTCAAATAAAAAAACCCCACAAATCTAAAAATAACATGTAGATTAAGGAAATAATAACAGGGAACAACAAAGCAATCATACTTGTCCAATATTGCCTATTTGCAAAGGAAAAAACATATCTGTGTTTTGAAATGTATGGATGAAAGTGTACATTATGAAATAATAAGCCTAATATGAACTCTGAAAAAATGAACGTCACCAGGATACATCCTATACCCCAAATGATTACTTACTTAGCAGAGGATGATGGATCAGAAGTTGTGATTCAGACATGCATCTTTAATGACATCAAATTATTCAAAGCATCACGTTTGTACAGTATGAAGATGCCCACATGCTTTTTATGTAACTAGTGTACCTGACATACAGAACATACAATTTGTATTCTAGTGAATATCCATAAATACCTTTCCTTTAAGAAAAGGAAATTCAACTTCGTTAGAAATGCTATGTCAGCTTTAAAAGCTTCTTTTGGTTCATTATGTGAAAGCAACACTGATTTTAAAACAGATCTGCACATAATCAATTTTGTTTGCACCACTGAAGTCCCAATACTGGAGTAATAAAGATACATGCATTCCCTTTGCAGAGACTGATTTGTATGCAGAGCAGCAGAAAGGATGTGCATTAATAGGCTCACAAGCAGGACTGTTGGTGAACGATTAACCTCAGAAAATTCTGCTTAAGCAGCTAACTGATGGATTGGCAGTGTCCTCAGATACTTCAGTTCTGTAATGAAACACTGTTTGCAATGCAAACATTTGAAGTAAAGAAAAAAACCAGAACTCTCACTAAAAAAGCAAGTTTCAAATTAATATACATTAAGTATGTTTAACCCTACATAAGGTATAGCTATCATACCCTATGTCATAGCAATCTCCAATATGATCTCCTTTCAAAACTTATGGCAAAGACTGAAAGATGCCAAAGAAACAATTTGGCCTTTTCAATTAGTAATACATCACCTCTTCTTTCACTTATCCTAGCCCTTCTTTTTTGTAACCATGCAAAGATAGGCACCAAATGCAAAGCAACCAAATGGGAGTACTCCATTCCTGCATGCCCTTGTTACCACCTCCAAACCTTGGTAAAAGTGCACCAGCAGTGGCTCTCATCACTACTGTGCATCACCACTGACACATCTACAGCAGTACATACAATAGGTACATACAAGGCTAATGCTGATGCTAATTATCAGTCAGGTAGGTGTAGATGTGTTACTAAATTTAATTAAGCAATTTATATGGCTGATTTATATTGTAAAATAGCATAAAAGACCCACGGGTGTTTTTAAAAGGATTTTTTGGAACCACATTTACCACGTCCAACACCCGCGAGCAGGTTGGCTTCTCGCGCCCCCCTGTGGTGAAAGGGAGGATTTACCCACTCCTGCTCCCATCGCTCGTTTTTCATTAGGATCCCATTTAAAAGCTTGGAATATATAATTCTGCACTTTCTCCCACATTTTAAAATATGAAGTACCACATATTAAGCATACAAAGCTATAATTTTTCCCCCACGAAGACATAAAAATAATTTACTTCTCATTTAATCTTAATTATCTTGGTAACGTATTCAATACAGCATGTAATTTTATCAAATGTAAGTATCCATTAATATAATGTGTAGTGCTAAATGCAACATATGACTACAACTACCTTTAGAGGCTTTAACATTTACAGTTCAAAAATCCCCACCATTAATGTTCATGCTTTCTACTCTGAAATACTTTTTATTTTTTAATCTTAAATGCATTTCTAACTGTTTGAAATATATTACAATACAGGTGTTTGCAGAATACAGCTGTTTAAAGAACTGTAACTGAGTGAAACTCATCAGCAACTCCATGCAATATTCTGGCATGTGCATCCATGACTTCAGAAACCCACAAGTGTATGAGAATCCACCCCAGGAACAGCAATACTTGATCCACCTCGCTTCCTTGCTTGCTCAGCATGTTGAAAAAGCCCAAGCACCTCTGCCATGGAACAAGGACCACTGTGCAAAGTCCCAGCAACACACTGGTAAGACTTCTCACCCAGAATTAAGGTGCTGATTTAAAGGCAGGATTGGGAGACGTGATAATCATTCCCACCAAAGCTTTCAAAATCAGTTTAGTCTAAAACAGGTCTCACACAAGAAACTTTAATTAAAAAGTTAACGTTCTGCAGAACAGCACTGGAGAAACTGTTAATCAATAAATTATTTCCTGAAGAAAACTACTGAGAGACTGCAATTACAGGTATCAAAAGCTAATGAGGTAGCAGAACTGCTAGAGAAAAGCAGCTAAAAAGCCCACCCATGAAATTCTACATTATCAAACATATTAAGGTGGTGCTCATTACAGAAGTGACCTTGTGAAAATAAACTATATGCTCTTTTAATTGTAATATTTGCAGATCAGTGTGCAATCTAAACCTATGTAGCATAAAACAGGAAAGCTGAAAGACATGTCAATTTATTGTACATTATTATCTGATAAACTTACCAGTATCATCAAATATTATCTAACAAAGTTATGTCCAAAAGCAGCAAGAGGAGCATCAAGAAGAAATCTAACATAAAATGAAAGACAGCATTACCTTTTCCTGAAATTACTTCTTTTTCATGTCGCCATCGAAATCCAAACTGTTAAGATAAGAACCAAAATTGAGTTGTGAATAGTCAACATATTAAGCACTGTAAAGACTAATTTCAGTTGATTAGTGTCCTTCATGTGGCTCATCCTTTTAATTCTGGTCATGAAAATTTAATTTTTTCTCTTTTAATTAAAAATATCTCTCTGCCTCAGCTTGCCAGAATAGTATTTTTTAAATAAAAATAGTTTAAGTATTTGTATTTTTATTTTTACAGGAAGTCCTCCATGCTGAAAAACAATTACAAAAGCAAACATATTAACATTGCCAAGTACAAGACAAGTTGGCCTAGAAATCTGGAAATGAAAACAAAATAATAAAATATATTTTATTTAATGACCAGGTGTCAAACAGATTTCATTTCTTAGCAAATAGGACACACTTCCAATCTGCTAAGCTACAAAACAAAGTACAGAGACAGCAAATAAGAACTTCTCTAGGAAAATAAGACAACAAAGGGAACATTTCCAGTCCAGTGCATATCAAAGTAAAACTTAAATGCAGAGCACCCTCCTGTGCTGCACTGCAAAGCTGACAATAGAACTGAACTATCTGACAATACAGATGGTCATTTATCAGCCTCAAAGTTTGCAGACAAGATGCACTGAAGGTTCAAAGACAACCTTGACCTAGAAAACTCTTACCTAGGGAAAGTGTCAGGAGTAACAGACCCAGCACAAGCAAGAGCTGTCAGAACACTCTTCCACTGTCTCTACAGAGCCTCACACCAGAGGTTCACCTTGGCATTTCTGATTAAATGCAAACACCAGTCAAGACCAAGTCAGACTGGTCATCAGCAGGTGAAGCAGCCTGGGAGCAAGAAGGGTGAATGGGTCTCCAGCTCTGGCTGTGAGAGCACCTGAGAATCTCTAGGGATGAGAGCAGGGGAGTCCCAGCAGAGTGTGTGAGTGTGTGTGTGTGTGTGTGTGTGTGCAAATGAGTACCAGCAACTGGAACATGCCTGTGGCCTCAGGGGCTCATCTGTTTTCTTCTGAGCTTCTGTTTTTGAGTAGGTGGTTCTGTTTATTTTTCAGATTCTCAAAGGAGATGCTCCCATGAAACCTTTATCCAGTCCTTTGTAAAACAGTGGTTAACTTCAGAAGAAAAGCTCCTAAAGAGATCTGAGCTACAATTTCTATGCAGAGATCTTTAGAAAACCAATCTAACTAGAAGATTTTGGCCAGAAGCAAATAATTACAGCTGTGAAAAGACAGATAAGCACATACGTGCAAGTCTCAATCTGTGCAATATATGTACTTAAAACAGCAGAGAAAACTGACCTCCAACTTTTGCTTTCACACCAAGTTGCCTGATACAGAATCACAGAACCAAAGAACAGCTCAGGTTGGAAGGCACCTCAACAGACTACCAGCTTCAACCTTCCATGGAGAAGGGAGCCCAGATGACATTATCTATCACATTGGGCAATTGCATCTGAAAAACCTCCAGCAATGGGGATCCCACTGTGCCACTGGGGAGGTTGTTCCAGCAACTGAACGTTCTCACTATAAAAGAATTTCTTATATTAAGATGAAACATCACAACTATAATGCAAAAGGCCAACTAGCTGAGAAGCTTTTATCTACCCAGCACTTCTCATAGCACCAGCACTGCAAAGCAAAAGGCACAGGGGGCTAAAGATATCCAGCTTCCAGTTTCTGGAGATGCAGAAATAAAAATTAAGGCAGGAAAAATCTGAAAGCACAGCCTGTATTCCATCAGTGCAAATGGGATGAGCAGCTTATTTAAGACTTCCAAGAAAAAAGCCTGCTTTGAAATCCTTCTGTACCAAACATGGGCATGGATAAATCAGTCACTGAGAAAAATCTCATACTTTCTTCTATTTTTTCTAAGAATTTCTAAGAAAGGACTATCACATGATCAGAATGTATTTGAGAAAAGAAAGCATATATATTTTACAAATTGCCTGACACAGCACTTATGCTGACATGGCAATTCCAAAAATAGAGGTAATGACTGAGGAGCATAAATGGGAACAGAGAGTGACCTCAAAGTTAGGACAGACACACTTGAAGTCTGACAGGGAAATACTGTTCACACAACACAAGAAAACACACACAGACACACACACACACACAAAATCTGGGGCAGAACAGTTTCCCACAAAAGACAGCAAACATATGGAAACTTGGCACAGTAGTGAGAGAAACAAAATCTGTAAGCATGCTCAAGGGAAATCAGCTGGGGGGATGGGGGATGGAATGGACATTGAGGGATAGGAAATACCTACAGGAAAATAAAATCAAATTTAATAAAAAAAAAAGGGAAGGCATCTTCAGCATTTTAGTTTTTGTTGATTTTAATTGCATTTTTGCATTTTAGTGTCCCAATTGTCTTTAGATGACTGGTCACCTTTTCTTCTTAACAGAGCTAAGCCCAGTCCTTGCAAATATTTACCAGTGAATGTAATTTTCAATACTATAAAATAGTTGAAAGGAACTATATAGACTGGGTTACTGTGTGCTAGAAACATCAAGACACATCTGAGTTCAGCACCAGTCTTTGGAAAAACACAATAGGAAATTCATGTATACTCTCTGACTAAGAAGTTAGTCAGCCAAAAACTTGGAAAAAACAAAGGCTGTTCCAATTAAGAAGAAAACCTGGTGCTGGAATTGGGCTGCTCCTCTTGAGAAATTCTATTTATTTACAAGGCACATACAAATCCTGTTTCCACAAACAGAAAAGAACAACCAGCAAAAGATGCTGCTTTAGAATAGACTTTTCCAAAATTGTTTCTGCCAGCATTCAAGTACAAAACTCTTTTTTAGACTTTTTTTTCAACAGTAACATTCCATGGGGTTTTAGGCTTCATCTACTGCTCCTCTCCAAGCAACCTCTCCAGCCTTCTTTCTTTAACCCCTTTGCATTTTCTGCCTTTCACACACAATGTACCTCTTCATAAAACATCATCTGACAGAAATGTTCCTATTCCCACAGAAGCACATTTTTGAGGCAGTGACAATACTTGGATTCAAACTGCTGCTTGTAAGTAACTCGACAAATTCTCAGAGCTCCCTTTCTACGGAAGGAGTACTAACATTCTGGTTTTACAACATATCCACAATCATAAGGCAATTTTAAAAAAAGGTTATACTTCAAAACCCAAGATGATTTACACTAAGGAAAGATACCTTATTTTCTTTGTATCTGCTGAGATCTGCTATACAGTATTCTTTGAACAATTTGTCATAATACTTCTTTGCAAGCCTCTTCTCCCTGAAACAAAAAGTAATATAGAAGACAACATAATTTACTTTACATTGTAATGATATTAGCAAGACAAAGACATGTTATTTCATTGAAAGAACACAAGTTGTAGACCTAGAAATGCAACAGATACATAGTCATTAAACTAAGGAGTAATTTCCATAAAGCTGCAAAAATAAATATAAAATAAATCCACAGTACATGCTAAACTGTATTTTTTCAAACTCTGCTTTCTTCAGAGTTTTTGAACGGTTATTTGGATCTCAGAGAATCACTATTATTTATTAGTTCTTTCTGTCATCAATTCATGTTGGCATTTGAGCAGTATTACAACATGAAAGACCTTCTAATGGTCTTTCATTTTCAAATGCATCAAAGAATGATCAAGTATGCACAGTAATTCTTAATTAGTAAGGGAAACCACAAATTTAGTACAAGCAATCTAAAAATAACATATCCTATATGTTTCAGGTACCAATTCATGTCTGCTTCATCTTCTTCATTCCACAGGAATCTATGGTTTTCTCTAATAACATCAAGATCTGTCTTGTCATTTGCTCTGTAAAAGAACACACCCTTTTTTAGTACAATGTAACATTAAAATGAAAAGCCATCAGATAATAATTTGGTAAGCATTAATATTTTAGGGTTCCGATCTATACCTCACAGCATAAAGGAATACATTTCTATGAAATAAAACTATCAAAAATGTATTCCCTGGCATACCTGTTCCCAAATAAAAAAACTCACAGTTGAAAAAGGCCACTGAAATTGTGGATGACTTGATCCTGTCTGAAAACACTTTTATAATCTTTATTGAGGACAGTGATGTTAAAAGGCACTAATGGATAGCTCTAAATAAGTTATTATTCTGGACAATGGATAGCAATTCTGCACACTCAGAAGTATTTCAGACTGTTATTTTGAAGATTCTGACAGATATTTCTCAATGTACCCTCCATTAATGATCCTCCTGTCATCCTTCCTTTTACATAACAAAACAAGAATAATTCAGCTCATGGTAAGTTCTTACCAAAAAATATGAAAACAAAAAGAAACAAGACAGTTTTGTGTTTGGGTATTTCCAATTACTGTAGTTACCATTTGTGACCAAAATAATTAGTAATTTGACACACAGCAACATCCATCTCTGCCCCCAAAGCTATGATATATATTCAACAGTTTTACAAAGCAGGGAGTTCTGAGGTCAGGAGGGGAAAGGTTGCCAACAGCTCTCACCCAGATCTTCGGAAATCCTCTATTTTGCCGCCATAGTATAAAATGTAGTCATGCACAAACTTCTTATGTCTTTCATACTGAATAAAGCAATTAAGGATTATTTCAGAACTTATTTCCTTTTACCACAGTTTTAAATAAAAAAAACCCAACCAAAATCTTTTTATATATTTAAGAGAAAGACTTTTCTCCTCACAAACAGTTCAGTAATTTCCAAAAAACAAAAAAGAATGGAGTTAATTAGGAACTTTTACTTAATAACCTCTCATAGAAGCTAATTCCCAAATACAGGAATTCTAGGCAATTTCATCTTTAAAACCTCATTCTTCATTTATAAAACCTTTATCAAAGATGCTCTGTATGCATATACACAGAAACTTGGTTCATTTTTTCAGCTGTGATTTAGACAACAGCCTCTTTGTACTGCAGTTTTAGTTTAAATCAGGTTTGTACTTTTCTATTATAAAAACAATCTGGCTACTAAAATGGAATAATTTGTTACATTTCTATCACCAACAAACAAATAAAAGTTGTATGCTTTAGTTTGGAAATGAAAATCACAGAAAAATATGTAATGCTTCTTAGAACACTTTGGCCTCAGTGTGAGGCCAAAACAGAAACATAATTTGAAACACATTTTGTACCACAATTTGAGCAAAATGTGTAATTACTTATTCAGAAAATAAATGTCTTCACAAATAAAAACTTTATATATGGTTTCTTAAAAGATTTTCAATTCACTTTTATCTCAGCAGCAAAAAGAAGCTCCTCTGAGGAATGACTCAGTATCTGGTGCTGCACTGTCACTGATTGTGGTAACTGAGAAATCCCAGTCTTTTACCACAATGGATAACATGTGCCCCATCTTCAAACCTGAAAAATGGAACAAAAGGATACAGCATCCATCGATATCAAGTGAAATCTTCTTTTTCTTGCTTCTTCCCTGTTAATAACAAACATGTTCCATTGAAAACTATCTTTCCATTAAGAGGAAAATGTCTCACAAAAGCAATATATAAAAGATACCTATCACATTCTTCAGTGGCAAATTGTCTGTGAACCACACTGCCTTGTTTTGGTTTTTGGAATGGCTTTATCAGAAGGGCATCTTCCTGTATTCTAAAGGTGGGAAATAGGAAGAAAAGTTAGTCAAGAACTTTTCATAAGCAATAAAATTTTCAAGTGCTAAACCTTGCACTATCTTGAGTAACAAAAATTGTTATATTCCTATTTTCTACAAGAATATAATGAAACTTCAGAACCAACATCAGCTTGGACTTTACCTCACTTGCAGAACAAAATCAGAAAGGCATTTGCTTCCAGCTGGCATTTAAAGGCAATTGCTTAAAACAGCAATTTGTAATTCTTATTTTTGTTTTTATTATCACTATAGAATCACAATGCTAAAACCTGGAAGATGCCTCAGTTTCACTCTGATATTTAAAGTCCTTTACAAATCTCAGTTGGACAGGAAAGTAGGAACAGGAAGGACAGTGAATTCACTGAGAGAGACTGACTGGCAGTAACCCTATTCCACCCTTTCATGCCAATGTCTCAACACCTCATTAAACAGCTCTGCCTCTTGTAGTGCAATCACAAGAATTACAAATTTGGAAGTCAATTGCCATGTAATGAACCATATTTGTCAGTAGACAGCTAAAATTACTTTTAGAGTTCAACAAAGTAATAAAAAGTTAAACATTTTAGCTAGTAAAAGGTATTTTTAGTTAATTTCGTTCATAAACTGAGATGAAGAAAAGATTTTTTCCCATAATTATCAGTAGGCAGAAAGCATGGTAATCAGAAACCTGAAGAAAACAAGCCAGGGAATTTGTTTCTAGCTGTGAAATACAGGACTCTAGAAACTTAAGGTATCATTTACTCAAAAGGATCTGTAAGCACAAAATTCCCTTAAAAAGGGTCTATAAAACAGCAATTTGGAGAAATTTCCTTAAAGTGAAAATAAATACAATGATAGAGCAAAAAAGGAACCCACGTAAGAGCCCTACAGGGAATCAGCAGTTGTGTGCCAGAAAAAGGACAACAATGGTATTTTTGAAAGGCTCCTGATGGTTACTTAATATTCCACCTAGAAAGTAGAGTGGTAGAATGTGCAATGGCACCTAAATACAATGAAATCTGAACAAAACCAGTCACCATTTTAATGGAGAATGTCTATATTTATAAAATAAATTAAATGGCACAATGCATGCTATCATTCCAAAGATTAAAACATTATTTTTTTCCCCCAGAATGCAATCAGACACTACAAAATCCATTCATTCAATTCTCCTACAAAGGAAAAATATGCAAGAGTCCTAGGACAGTTTCCAGAAAGTCTTCTTAAATAAAGTCCAATAAAAGAGCAAGGGAGAGACAAGAAAAAGTAAGAAAAGTACATGCAAAGTGTAGGCCAAATATTCAGTATGATGCAGAAAGTGTCAAGGTGTTTTGCAGTTCAAAAGCAAAATAAATACATAAACAAATAAATCAGTCAGATCAGACTACAAAATTCCAGGTCACTAACTGTGCAAATCACTGAAAGTATTGGCCAAGGTCATCTCAAATAAGAGATGTGCAGGTGCATTTCAAGGATTGATCACAACACAATTTACCAATTCCCAGGTCTCCTCACAAATTAAATAATAAAGAAGTAGCATCAGTTCTTCACTTTGTATCTCCATGTGTTTTATATCTACAAAGCCTTCTACCACTTGGCCTTTTTTGCCTTGCTCTCCTAGCAGTTCCATTTGTCCTGATGGATCACAGCGGTGTGAACAGTGCTGCCAAAACCCAGCAGTGGATACTAATGCTTGGAAAAACAAAACACTCTGCTCCAAGAACTGAGGGGCAAATATACACCAGATGGAGATGGCAGAACAGCTCTTAATCAGCTGCCCCTGGAGACGACAAGCTTTGGCAAGCTTGAGATGGAGGAGATGCAGAAATCAAAGAGATTGATTTTTTCAAAAACCATTTCAACACCAGACTTTACATGCAACGGCATCATCTTCTATGCACACTAAGAGGCCATTTGTACAAAATACATAATGCAAAGTGTTAATTCTGTACTACATTACCTTTTAGTCTTTTGCAGAGACTTCTCTCCACTCTCCTCATCACTAAAATCAGAATCATAGCCTCCATGGCCATGTGCCTGAAAATAATAGACCAGTCAATATATCTGCTAATGCAATATGGATATGGCATCATTACAAATCAGCACTGTCCATCATGCATAAATAAAAGACAGAGAGACGGAGAGCAAGTGAACTAGTGCAAATTCTCACATGTCTAAGCCAAACAAAATTCCACAGACAATGCAAAGCATATTCCAAATAATACAGGGAAAAGAAAGATCACTTTGTAAAATAGATCACTTTACAGATAATTTATATGCATATGTCCTCATATTTAATCTTCACACAGATGCAGCAAACCAGAAGTATGATAAATACCCTGGGTTTTTATTTTCTAAACAACGTTCCTTATGTAAGACGACCATGAATATCTTCCCCAGGAGCTAGTCTTTCAAGGGGCTGGAGGACAGCAAGTGATATGTCCACATTATAAATGAAGGAAAATGGGAATAAACAAAAGTTTATTGGGCTGTCATGCAGTATTTTAGATCATTAGATCTTACACTGGTAGCTGCAAATCTGAAAAAAAGACACAACTCCAGATGATGATTTTGATGAGGTGGCTTCTCTTGACATAAATACCTCACAGAAATGCCATGCTGAGGAGTCAGAGGTACCCTCTACTGACACCAACAACTGCTTTGTATTGTGCACAGTATGTAAAACACTGTCTTCTCAAACTATCAGTGAAGGACTCATTTTAAGATTTTCAAAAATCCTATTGCTATTATTATTAAAAAACAAATACTGTAATGTTCCTCCCACTCTTCTGGATGCTTCTGAAGAACACATAACTCTCCTACACATATATATTTCAAAAAAAGAAAATCAGAACTTTTTTTGAACTATTTCTTATTTCCCATGAGACATAAAAATTGTCCATTACCAAACAAAACAGAAACAAACCAAAAAAGCAAACAACCCCCTCAAACAAAACCCCAAACGAAATAAACAACTGAAGCAGATGTCTGCTGTAAACCATCCTCATGCACTTGCAAAAAAGCAGCAACAACGTAGTCTCATAGCTAGGTGGTTCTAGTAGCCAACCTGTCACTACTTTTGTTAATGAAGCTTATACGGTTTTTAGCAAATCTGAACACTCTATAAGTATGCAGTAAATATATTTGCTGCACACTTGGCCTCTAAATTTAAAAAATATCATGCTAATCTGGGAATATTTTAAATGGCATTAGTAATGCTTCCCAAATGAACATCGAGAGCTTCCTTCACACTCAACGCCTGGGAAGTCTCAGCCAACACCATGACCATGAAAGCCCCAGACAGATGAAGTACTGAAACAGGCGAGAAAGCTCAAATGAAAGGAGATTCTCACAAAGCAGTTGCCCTTGGATGATATACCCCAGGAAAGGAACAGACATCCTCACTAATCAGCTCTCAAGTGATTCCAGGAATGATTCAAATAAAAGAAAAAAGGATGCAAGAAAAGCTACTCCAACAGAGTCATACTGTAGGGCTCTCAGAGCTGATGACTGCCTTTTGTGAAGCTGACTGTGAGTATAAGGGCAGGTATGGCTAAGGACTAGGCTGCTTTTCCAACAGGAAAGCTCTTCACAGCTTCAGACATTCTTCTGAATCACTGCAATACCTCACAGATAAAAATTCTGAGTGAAAAAGAACACAACCCATGACTGATGATCACTCCTGACACTTGTGGATCACTCCTCTGCTGAGGCAACAGCAGGACAGACAGGTGCTGCATTGAGGCTGGGTTTGACAGCAGCAGCTCCAGCAGTGCTGGATGACAGAGAATGGGACTGAACGGTTTCTAACCTCACACCTCAGGTCCAAGATGACCTGACTCTTGGTAAAACATGCCAACTTCATTTCAGGAACTCCATCAAAGAACCCCATCCGTAAATGAACCTTGCCATTTTGGAAGGACAATGTAAATAGACAACTACAATCCCAGATAAGGAAAACATATTTAATATTTAACTGTAGAAATAGACAAGCAGATACCAAAGCTTTGTGCCTAACCTAGCAGATACAGACATGGACATGCACAATCAACAGAATTTAAAATAACTACTTTCACTATTTAGTAAACCCTTCAACATAAACTTTGCTTTAACGGAGTTTGTCAGACTCAGAACGCTTCTAGTTAATTACTAATACAAATACCAAGTGTTTTCTCTAAACATGAACCTGAAAGCTGACTTAAATGGTACAGTGTATTTTGCTGTTGTGCCAACTTTGATTTTTTTATTCCCAAACAATAAAACAAACTGAAACCACAAAATTAAAACAAGCACAAATATGCTTTGGAGTACATTTAGCTCACACTTAAGTAATCCAAACATCTTGGATTATTTAATGATGAAACAACTGGAGACAGAACAGAGTCCACTAAACTCTCGGCTCCTAAAACCCACACAAAACACAGTAAATGCATGAATGCTGTACACAACTGATGTCAAACTGAGATACCAACTCTCGACACCAATCCAGGACACTACAAACTGCCCAGCACTGCATCTAATGCAGGTATTTGCATCCAGAGAAGACACCTCCTTTAAGCCTCTCCAATGAGGTAAACACACACTTGTGAAATGTGTCCACTCTTGACCACGACATGTGACTGAACATGAAACAACAGTCAAGAAGAAAGAAGGCAAAACAATCCTATAAAATATTCCCAACTCGGGGCTCCTGACCTCGGGCCCAGTCTTGCCGCTGTCCTCATAAGCCCATCCTCCCCTTTATCTGCCCAGCACACAGGTCTGTGGCAGTGTCTGCTCACAGCCAGATGTGACTTGGAACAGCCCTGAGTGCTTGTTTTGGTACAGACTATTTGGGGAGGGTATGAAGGAAGCACAGGATCTGTAAGAGGACTTGAGGAGCCATCCTTGATGGATAAAAGATGCTGTGTGGAAGGTCAGAATGCTTCACTGCAACATGCTCTTCCCACCTTGATGTTGTCTATGAAGCTTTGCCACCCCATTTGGTGGAAAAACCTGAGAACAAGCAACTTGATTCTTCCTTGTAAAACCTATTACAATGCGTGCCTGCGTATACTATACAGTGAACGGCCCTAACAAAGAGAAAAAAAGCACTCGCAAGATATTTCCCCTTTATTACAGCTATGAAAGAAAAAGTAGGAGTAAAAGGTAGCTAACAGCAGACCACGACATCAAGGATTAGTTATGTGGAGCTCCACAGAGAAACCGAACACCGGCCAGTCAGACGCAGCTTCTGAAGCAGTTCTTTCTTGCCGGCTATCCTGCAGTGGCCCAGCGCTGTCCCGGCTCGCCTGACCCTTCCTCCGCCGCCGCAGTGGGGCACAGGCACGGGCCCCGGCGGCCCTTCCTCCGCCCGCCCCGGCCCCGCCGCCATGGAGGTCGCGGCCTCCGCCGGGCCTGTCCCCGCCCGCCTCTGCCGGGCCCCCTCCATCCCTCCCTCCCGGCCCCACTCACGGCCGCGGAAAGGCGCAGCTGCTCGGGCTCCATGGCCGCGGCGCGGCGAGGGCCGCCTCCGCCGCCCGGCCCTGCTGCCGGCCTCGGCGCTGCTGCGCTCCCGGAAAGCAGGGTAGAGGCGGAGCAGGGCCGCACCGCGGGCTCCCTTCCTCCCTCCGTCCCTCCCTCCGCCGCGGGCGGGCGGCGCGGGGCAGCGGGGCGCGGGGGAGGGCGAGCCGGCACGGGAGGGGAGGGGAAAGCCGCTCATCATGTTTAGGGGCGAGGGGAGTCTCCCTGCCCGGGAACCCGGTCAGCGGCCCCGGCTGCCGCGGTCTCCGCCTCTGGGAAGGTAGGACTGTGCCGCAGGGGCTCAGAGGGGCCTGAGCGCGCCCCTCTCCCCGACCCGGGTCGCCCGCGCACCATCCCCGGCGCTCTCGGGCAGGGCAGTCCCTGTTGTGGGGGCACGGGCTCAGACGCCGCTGCGGGTGCCGGGGCTCGGTGGAAAGGGTGCCTCGGGAGGGATAGGGGAGGCGGGGGTCGTTGTTCGGGAGGGGACCTCTCCCGCAGAAGGGGACGCTCCGGGCGGGAGGCCCCGGGAGGCGCCCTGCGGAGGGCAGCAGCTGCCAGGCGTGCCCGGGAGCTGCGCGCTGCCCCCGGCGCGGCACGGACCGCGACCCCCTCGGTGCGGCACAGACCGAGATCGCGACCTCGGCACGGCGATCTGTAACACTGATTGCTGCCTGTGCCAGCGGCTTCTCTCCTCGTCAGTCGCATCTCGCAGTTAGAAGAACGAAAGGCGGTATGTGACTCAGTTTCCCTGTGAGGACCGGCGGCAACTGGGCGATAAGAATTTGGGAGCCCGTGGGTTGCATCATAAAAAGTAGCTTTATAAACCAGAAGTATTTGCTGATAAAGTAGCTGGGAAGCACCAATCTTCGGCATTAAGTCATCAGATAGAGCAATTAACTGTCAATGAATTGATAGTTTCCCATCAAACACAACCTGAAATGCTGAAGTCTGAAATGCTGTAGTCCATCTGGACTGTGTTTCCAGTTGTGTTATTGATTCCTGGATAGTTAAACCACAGACACACTTAATACAGGGAAATATTAAAAATTTAGATACTGCTGCTACCCTTGTAATATACAAGTTGTAAAATATAAGTTGTAGGTGTTGCTTTTCTGCAGTAAGACAATCACACACCATAGCTGCCAGTGAATCTCCTTACCTTGGCTAGTAGATCGCTGTTTTCAGATTTTTTTTTCTCCTGACCTATTGTTTGTGTTACTTGTTATGCCATTATTGCTGTGAAGGAATGCAAAGATGATGCTAAAGTGTCCCATGGAAAGGAACTGAGTGGCACTGTGCATATTTGAGTGCATGCAGTATTCTGCTGAAGTCCTACTGAATGTGGCCCATTTCCTTTAAAGGGCAGAGACTCTTTTGCAAGAATGGAATTATCCTAATTAATAATTTAAATATATCAAAATAAATAATGTATACTCTCAAAGCTGTAATAGCAAGCATCTTTTTGTTGTTCCTGCCTTATGGAAATGACAGCCTGCTTTAGTGTGAATGAATCCTGACATGATTCTAGAAACTGGGCCAACATATCATTGATTATGCACTTTGAAGAAGAGTGGGAAAGGTAGAGGAAAGATTTACAGTGCTTGAATCTCTTGGCATTGCGCTGTGGCCACAAAGCCTGCATATAGAAAAAATACAGTTTCTGGGACAGGAAAATTATCTGCAGTGAGTCCATCTATAGCAGCTGCTGTAGATGCTGAAGTTATGTTATAAACAGCTTTTCTGAGAATAGCAGCTAGATAATTTCATCTTGCTATGCTATGCTTTTCTGATGTCTAACTGCGTTGCTTCAGAACATCACCTGACTGCATTTTATATGTGGGCTACAGTAAGCTACAGCTGGGGAATGGGTTCAGAAATGGCCTCCTAAATAAACTGGAATTTGAAACTGAATGTGCCCTTAGCGTTGGTATATGCATTATACTTTACTCCAATGGCAGTATCTCCGTAGTTTAATTCCAGCAGCAGTATATTTTGACACCAAAAAGGCACTTCTCTTATGAGTCCCACGGGATTGGAAGATACAGGAAAAAGAACAGATGAGATGGACATAACTCATTACAGGGCAGGAGGTTTTAAGTGGGATTTCGATGACTGTACAGCCAAACCTTAGGAGCACAGCTTTCCTTTACAAATAAGTCAATCTATGCCAATCTGTGCCAATCTTTACAAGTAAGTCAAGCTACCACTGAAGAGAGCGTTCTTCTGAACTGGATCTAATGCTCATCTGACCACTCTTGCTGAACAGCGGAATTTAATTTTCTGCCACCCTAGCTCCTGTGACTGTCCTGATGTGGTGTCTGGATGAGTAACCCTGGTGAAGCGAAAAAATGTTAGGGATGGGACAGGAGGGAAGTGGGAAGTGAGCAGCAGCTCTCTTTTAGATCAGGTCAGCAGTAATGTGAAACAATAGTCTTAAATTACAGTAGTCCTGAACTTTGTGGTCCACAAAGGAGAAAACATTATTGTAGCTTTAACTTGAGTTCTGCCCTAAATCTAGAATGGGCTAAATAAAGTATGAGACTATGTGACCTGATGTATCCAAAAAGTTTAAGTCAGACATGGTACATATATCATAGCGATGCAGAATTCAAAGTATACCTGACACATCCTTATTGAGCTGTTCATAAGAGCTTCATGTTCATGTTTCTAGTGTAGGAGATTTCACAGCTTAATACCTTAATCTATTAACCTGTTAGGTATAAGGGGTTTTTCTTACTATCTAAGAAAAAAAAAATCTTGTTTGTTGCTACTTGAGTTAATTTCTTAATGCCCTGAAGACATATATCCCCACAGTTTTCCCTTTTTGTAGCCTGAGAAGGTGCTTCAATCTTTCTATACAGGTTACATATTGGAGAACTCTTACATTTTATTGCTCTTTTTCAGACTCAGTTTTCTCTATGTATTTTTAAGAAATACAAAGTGTAGATGTTTACTCCTTAACAATATTTAGCCAGGAAGAAACACATCAGCCTTCCTGCAGAAGATGATTGCCCCCTAAGATCTTCTGGTAAAGTTGTTTAAACTCAACAGCCTCTGGTCTGTTGAATCAAAATTAGTTTGGTTAGCCCATTAAAAAATTGTTCAAATTTTTAATGAAGCAAATCAGAAGGCTTTGCCAGCAGGCTTGAAGAGGCAGCTACCACTGGTATGGAGAGCAAGGGCAGGGCAGCCACTGACAACTACGCCCATTGTGAGCTGTTGCCACAGACCACATTTGAGTTTGATTATGAGACAGTAATGTGGAACCATCAAGAATTCTAGTAAAACTGATATTTGTCCTGTTTAATCTTTCCTCTTTCTCCATTAAGTCAGTTCTTTTGTTGACACACGAAGAAATTACTTTCTAATGCTATTTGATATTGGCACCTTCCTATCTCCTACATGGCTGTGAAGTAAGTTGCCAAATCATTTATTTTTGTGTCTTTTGTACGAACAGTACTTTGGCATCTGTCATGTTCCTGATTTTTATCCTCTCCTATTTGAAACCCCCTAGTAATTTGTAGAAAAAGCAAGTAAAGCTAAAAATGGACGTTCACATATGCCAGTAACATCACATTCAGCAACTGTAGCTCTTTTTCATTTAGCTGTACCCATGTACAATTTCAGGGATGTACTGTGCCTCCCAACAAGTCCTGAGGAAGGTATACACTACAGTCAGGCAGCTGATTCCCAAGCTTAGCACTTCCTGACAGTCAGGGAAAACCAGTGGGGCTGTACATGAGAGGCAGTGCCTCAGGCTCACCAGTTCACATCACAGGTACTGGTAGCTCCAAACTAGTCATTAATGATACTGTGTAATCATCTAGAGGCTATGTGGAGATAGCAGGCAGTGCATACCTGGTTTGTCAAATTCAATAAATGGTGTGTTCCACTTGTTTTTCTCATACACAGAATATTAAACAGCAATCTTAACTAGCCACTAGATGTCAATGTTGCTGTGCTAAAGGGCAAATGCAGTTTTATTTGTTTGGCTGATAAAGTAATTTCATCCTGAAAAGAACTTCTGTATTTAAAGATATTTCCAGTATAGGGTCAGTTACAAAAAATAATCATGGACAAGCCCATGCTATGTCCGTTATTTGAAGAGAAGCTGTGCAGTTTTATGATATTTTGAAGTTGCAATTAGCTTTTCTGTGCAAAATCATTGTTAGAAAGGTGCCTTTGAAAAATAGTATCTGATTGACCATCAGTTTCCTTCCTTGTTCTAAAATCCCAGACCTTTGTAGAAGTAGCCACAATCATTGTATTGCATTTCACTTGTTAATAAGATAAAATAGAGAGAATAGAATAGAATAGAATAGAATAGAATAGAAGAGAAGAGAATAGAAGAGAATAGAATAGAATGTATATCTAATCCTATTATAAGAGTTATTGACTTTCCTGAATTCCAGGTATCCGTGGACATTTTCCTCTTAATTATTTCTGTTTAACACCATTGGATATCAGTGTCAGATACATTGTATGGAGATAGAATTTCTAGAACACCAAGACTTCCAATATGATAGGCAATTTGAAATTTTGAAAATGTGTATATCTAAAGGCAGATCTGACAGATGATGGCATTTTAGAAGGATACACGAGGTAGAATTTGACCCATGGACCTTTGTTATTCCTGGCTCTTCTACCTCTAGGGTGAACTAATCACTGCCAGTCTCCACAACTGCTTACTGCCTGGTGCACTGAAGGTGCTGGTTGTATTGTATTGTCTGTCTACAGAGCATTTATTTTGAGACCAAAGTTTGGAAATTGGTTTCATAAACAGTTATGGAAAGCTGAAGAAGAAAACAGTGCTCATCTTGAATTCAGATTAAGCTTGTTCTGCTGTTAGGATAAAAACAAATCTCAAAGGCTCATATTAAAAATATAGTTGAAACCTCCTGTTGATCTGAAAATCTCCCAAGAAGTCAAAGATGTGGAAATTGCACCCTCATTCTCAGCTGATTAACTTGGTAAACAGAATCCCTGTTTTGGCCACAATGTTAGAAAATAGAGCCTAAATAACCTGATTTATTC